CCTCACGGCGGTTGCTTTGCAATGAATGCCACGATTCATACCACCTTGCGGCAACGCCCGCACAGCTTGTGTTCAATCGTGACGCGATTCACAACGCCGGTTCGAAGCCAACTGGAAGTACATTAAGGAACGTCGCCAACGACTAATCCAACAAAACACGATAGGGAAAACGCGACGCGTGTCCCTCACCAATACAATGTCAACGATACCGTGATGATTCAACAGTATCAGCACCGCAAGTACGGTCAGCCAAAGTACAAAGGTCCTTACACTATAGACCGAGTCAATGACAATGGCACTGTACGCTCCGACATGCTACCGCCAACGGCGGCACAGTCTACCAGACTTGGAACATAAGGTATATACACACCATACAAGGCCTGATCCCTTGTAGGATTGCCATCGTGCGACGCACATGTCTACATCCAAATCTCATGAGAGTGCCCGCACTTTAAATCATAGTTCTCCTTGTCCGACTGCTGTCGCGCCTTCTGTGACCCTTGTCAGGGGCGAATGCAATACACGGCTCTTAGCCTTATCGCGACTCGATCCTAGATAGGTTTGAGTTCGACTCATGACTGAGTCTCTCGTGAAATGTCATTGAGACAGGGTTCTCAATGACCGCGCTAGTCATCTAGGTTGATGATGAAACTCGCTCTAGATATTTAGCCAGCGTGAAGTACTTCCACGCTACTAGATCCAGGCTAGACAAACTTCCACGCGTTCCGTTTTAGGATCGTGGAGAGACGTAGGATTACTACCGCAACCTACTCATCACACTTTATAGTCTCCGCGGGAAGCCAGATCTACGATCCTTGATGATGATCTCTCTCGTTGATTAGTTTCATAGCATCTTCTATAACTTTCATCTCTCAAACATCTCATAACTTTCATTCTCTCAAACTCAAAACACTCGAAAGATCTTTACACTAGCTTTTAGCGTAGTGCAACTGTATACCCATTTTCCAATTGGAGTAAGCAGTAGAAGTTCCTTGGGAGGGTACATGGCTGACCGTGGACAAAACAGACAGCCATTCTTTCCACCGTATCCTGCCATTTTCCTTACAGGAGATAGAGGCATCTTTCCGCTGTAGTGCTTATCATAACAGCCCTCTGACCAGCCGCCTAACTGTTGGATTTGGCTTCTTTCTTCCATCAGAAACTCAAGTGTGAGGGCACCAAGCTTGCGGCCAAGATGCAGTACCTTGGAGCAGTCCAGCTGCAGTTCATTAAGAATGCCACGGATGTGGTTTCCATAAGTGTCCTTCTCCATCTCCTTGGATCTATCAGCGCCAGCCTTGACGTCGGCCAGAACCTTGATGTCAAACCACTTCTTGTTGTTCGCCCAGTCGTCGACAGTGAAATTGGCAAATTCACTGGTGCAATGGAGTCGGTACTGTATCATGAAAGCAAAAGCGGCAATGCAACACACCTTGACATCCTTGTGGCGAGTGGCCCTACCATACTGTCTCCTGCCATAGGTGGCTGTCTTGCCCATAGCGATTTGGTTAACCATGATGTAGGTGTTGTGGACATCTCTGTCTTCATCCTTCGGCACTGTCAATCCAAGGAAGTCACTGAACTCAGCACGGTGGAGAGACTCACAGCGCAGGATGCCACAAGTCAAATGTAGGAAACAATACCTGTGGCGGAGCTGACAGGCAATAGACCTGTAGCCAACTGCGTCATGGCTGTGCTTCCATAGAATAGCTTCAATAGATGTGTATTGCTCCACAATCATGTAGGGAGAAAACTCTCCATCAACATCTAAGAAGCGCATAATGGGGTAATTTTGAATCTGGATGGTCCTTACCTGCCTTTTCCATACCCATTTGGTTCTAAATTGGTATGCTATTGCTTCCAGTTTCAGCTCTAAGCTCCTCTTTGGTAAGCAAATAGCACGCTGATTGTGGAAGGACATCCTTTTCTATTGAGGATCCCTCAGGTTACCTGACAGTTTTGACCTCTAGTTTGATCACATATACCTTGCAGATTGGGTAGCTAATGGGTACCTGAATGTACAAGATGCAAGCTTGGGTTGGACCTGGTTGGTAACCTGATGGCTGCCTCTGTACGGAGCAGCCTCTCTTTAGATGGTTGTTTGGCGGTGTGGAAGGGTGGATTCTTTGTTCTGTAAGAGGAGAAGCCTCTATTTCTGATGGTAATAAGCCCTGGATGGATGTGGCGCTGCTTCTGTTCCGCAAGGTGGACTTGGATTTATAAGGAGGGCAGGCTGTTTTGGGAAGTGTCATTGGAGAGTACTGCTTTTCCACAGTAAAGGATTCAAACAGACTTCACGGAACAGCCTGCCCGGCTGCCCCTTCTTTGAAAGCAGCCTCACTCCTCACTCGATCGCTCACCAACAATAAGAGCAACACAACAAGAGCAACACAATGGTGGAGGAGCGGCTGATCACTACTACTACTATTACGGGTAAGTCCATTATCAAGTGTGTTATTATTGAAGGCGCAGCACTGACTTCTCTCCCTCATTCAATTCCTATGGTAAACAGGAGAGAAATACCAGTTTGGCCGACAACAGTGATAGCTACCGGTAGGAGGAGTTCTTTATCCAATCGGCCGATCGATCGATCGCAATAAGGTAAGCCTATTATCAAGAGTGTTAATTGAGGGTACAGCGCTGACTTCTCTCCCTCATTGGATTTCTATGGTAAACAGGAGAGAATTCCAAGCTCGGCCATCATCAGGTGAGTTGTTTTAATTATTGTTTTAATTATTCGAATCGTTGATCGCACCTCTATTATCCAATCCTCACTCAAGCCGGCTGTCTCCGGTGTAGATTCGAAAGCCATCCCTCATTGAATTCTATGGACCATGGGATGGCAGTCAGTTCTCGGCCCATGACGGCCAAGTTGGTGCAATTTGAAAAGCAAGAGTAAGTCTCCGGTCATCTGCAGCACAGCACAGAAAACAAAACTCATATGTATTTGTTGTTTTCTCTGCTGCACTGCCGATGGCCGACGAAATCCCATTGTCGAGGTCGAACGAACGAACGATCGCTCCGGATAACAAGAGGAGAGGCTACGGCTACGGAGGAGGCTCTGTTAACTCCAGCCCTACCAACAGCATGAACAGAGAGGAGGAGCCTATCGTCGTCGACGAGTCATTGAATGGCAACAAGAGGAGGAGGCTACACAACAACTCGAAACGCACAAAGGAGAGTGGATCCTCCTACCGGATTCATCCCTCCCGTGGTATTTCCTAGTGTTTGGTCGTTGATTCCTGTGTTGGTACCCATTTTCCTGTATGCACAAGTCAGTTTCGAGGATTTGGCTAAGTCGACGACGACTTGGTTGTACGATAGATGTAACTAGACTAAAATAGAACGCCGATTACCAACCAATAGACCATACCCATTACGCTAGTAGAGACCTTGTGGATTCAATAGCATTGCTAGGTCTCTGTTTGATACCCTTACCTCATGGACTGGTAACCATGGTTGCCAATTCAGGAAGAGGGCTTATCAATTGGTAACCTTACCATCGACTGACCTACCAAATTTGTAACCGACCTCACTGTTTTCGGGCTACCCCATTATGCGCTTCTTAGATGAATCTTCTCTTTGTAGTTCCTCTTGTCTTGTATTGGCTTCCTCTGCTTAACATACTTGAATAGATCGTCCAGTGGAAGCCTCCAGATACCATCAAAGCTGAGGATTGTAGTCAACCCCTTGGCAACTTGGACCTTCCAGATCTTCCTGATAATTTGCTTGTACTGTTCAAAAGAGGGAGGGCTCAATGGATCCTTTGGATTGGGTCGATTCAGCCTGGCTGAAGCAGCATCCTTGTAGTCCACCATGAGTGCATCAAACGCCTCCTTGTTGAAGTGCTTCCTCTGTGCAACAGGCTTAGCACGCTCAGCCTTGGTTGGTGGTTTCTTTGGCTCTCTGAAGGCAGTGTAGAACATGAATCTGTAGACCTTTTCATAGTCCTACACCCTTCGCATTGGATCCTCAGGGTAGGCATGATCACAGTACTGGTAGTATTCATAGACCTTGGGATCCAAGGAGGCTCCAGTGTTGGTGGGTCTGTCGCCCTCTGCCATTTCCAACAGCACATGCTGCAAATTGTTGTTCAATTGGGCATCATCTGGTGCGTCCTGCACAGTCACCACGGCCTCTCTCATGCCATCTTCGCCAGTCCTATGCTCCACAACAGTCACCTGTGCTGGCCTTGGAGGAGAGGGCAAGCCATTGGCAATAGCGCTGATGGTAGAAGCCACCATCTTGATATGTTCGAGTGTTACATTCTGTTACGTTCGTGGCATTGGTTGCTTCCACGATATCGATAGAGGATACGGAACCACTAGAGTTAGGCCTACTAGTATAAAGAGGGCGCGAACTGAAGGAGCTAGCGTTCTGCTTTAACTACCGGTACTTATGTCTTAGATAGCTAACCCTTAAGTCTGTTATTTTTTGACTTGAGCTCTTTATCGAGTTGTAACGAGCGGTGCACCGTGCGCGCGAAGATCGTTATGGCCAGTCAAAGAGGGTCATTTTGACTCCAGGTCAAAACTGACACGAATGAACTTTGACCTACGAGGGTATATTTAAAAAAAAAGAGCAGTGAGGTTATTGATGGAAACCAGTGAGGGCGACGCCTTGGGGAAGAAGAGTGGGAAGTAAGGACTAGGAACAGTGCAATCGGGGGCCAAAGGTTTGCGGAGCAATCACGCCAACAACCAAAGGATGGAAGGATGCACTATGGGATTGAATTCGCATGTGCATAATAAAAATATACTTGGGAAATTTCTCGTGTTCTTGATCACACTAAATCTTTGAGCCAATCTGTATGCAGCACAATATTTTGAAACAGGAGTTGCAGTGCTATACTATCAGTTACCTAGACTGTGCCCTTACTTATTAATAACCAAAGGCTTGAGCCTGATACTGAGCCTGCTGCTGAACCGGGGGTGGACCAAAATTCTGTTGTTGAGGCTGAACCGGCATTTGCTGTTGTTGTTGGTGAACTGGCATTTGCTGTTGTTGCATGGGATAGTTCTGCGCTGGATACTGCCCTTGTTGTTGCGCAGGAGGAGCCTGTCCGTAATACTGCTGCTGTTGTTGCTGCTGCTGCGGATTCCACGGAGCTTGCTGCTGCTGTGGTGGTGGTGGTGCCTGTGGAATTGGGTCTGAAAAGTCCAACAAGTCAGGGGCCGGTGCTGCATCAGGCATTACTCCCGTAGTATGGTAATGGTCCGAGTCGTCCGCAAACCCTCCTCCTTTGTTGTCCATTCCTAGTTCACTCGCAGAGGCAACCGACCTGCTCGCTTGCCGACCCACATTTTGGTGCCCTGCATACGAGGCTGAATCATAACCTACACCTAACAAACCAGCGTGGTTAGCAAAAAGTCACGATTTCATAAGTGACGGCATGCACAAATCGCACTGCTGTAATTATCGCGCTTACCTCCCTCTGCCGTCATGTTCCCCCTCCCTTCTGCCGCTGCGCAGGAAGGAAAAAAAGACGTTAGCCACAACACTCCAACGAAAGGAAATAAGGCACAAAAATAACAAATATTCGTACCATCACCAGAATTGGCTCGTTCTCGTACCGCACCTGTGGCTCGAATGCCGCCATTGAGTGGCGTATTCCTCATGCAAGCCACCAATGCTTCACGCAGTTCATCGACTTCTTTGGGGTTATTCGATCCAAACGCGGCCGCAATAGTGGGTCCGTAATCCATCCATCGTTCTAGCTTGAACTGTCGAATCAATTTGGTCCCATACGATTTGGTTCGACATTGCGTGACTTGATATCCACGCACATTAGGCTTGTAGAGGTCGTGAGCAAAATTGACGGCCAACTTGATGATGAAATTGCGTTGGGCTTGAGTATGGTAGGGATTGTTGAGCCAATCGTCAAAGTCGTGTTTCGATCGGAACCAGAGCATAGTGTGAGGACCGTACTGTACCCAAAAACTCTGTTTCCATTTTTTCATGACAATGGTACGAAAGGAAATGCGAGACAGAACAAAGCCCGTCTTTTGGACCATGTCCGCGCGAGGGAGAGGCGATGCTCCCATGGGAGCATTTTGCGACAATTCGCCACTATACTTATTGCGGGCTTCGGCTCCCGTGGGAGTATGTGTTTCGTCCGGACGAGGTGGTGGCGGGGCTCCTGGGTAACCACTGCTGGGAGCTGGCACAATATCCATGGGGGGAGGACGATGAGAAGCCGGTGGTGGTGTCGATACCGGGGGAGGTGATGCCGGTGCAGGATGATGATTTGGCGGCATTTCCCCGTATCCCTGGTTTTGCTGCTCAAATGGATTCTGATGCTGTTGCTGCTGCGGGGGAGGAGGGCCCCAGGGATCTGGTGGCGCTTGACCCATGCCGGGCTGTGAATACGCGGGGTTACCGTTGGGAACTGGCTGCTGATGCATCTGCTGTTGCTGCTGCTGAGGGGCCACCATCCCAGCATAAGGATTGGAGGGTTGTGCTGCAGGAACCAGTGCATTGCTGTATCCTACTTGTTGTGGTTGTCCAAACTGGTCTACTTGTTGTTGCGGTGGATATTGCTGCTGCTGTGGAGGAGGTGGAGGTTGCTGCGTAGGTGGCTGTGGCATTCCATAACCCTGATCTTGCATAGGAGCATGCTGCTGCGGCTGCTGCTGATACATCATGTTGGGTACACCATTGGGAGGTGCCGGCTGCTGAAATATGTCAAAGGGGTTGTCCGCCATGGTCAAAATCCAATCGAAAGAAGAATGCTACCGCTGGAGCTGGATAATGGATAATAAATCAACGGCCAATCTTGTCAAATCTCTTCTTCTGATTCAGGAATCACACTAATGCACTCTGCTGGAGAGCAATGATACAAGCTAAACCAGTATGATACGCAACCCAGGCCTTCAACTACAGTACAATACAGGCAAGTCTTGTGAATTCTGGATCTACCTATTTTTTCTTGGTGGCTTTGTGTTGCTGTTGTGCTCTACGAGCGACTCTCGCGTGACTGTTCGGAAGATTTGACCGTTGGAGGCACAAGCCGTCCATCACCCCGCAAGGCTGCTTTGCACCCTGTACCGTGGCAGTTTTATGGACGTAAGCCTGCTCTCTTGCCACTTCCTCTAAACGCTTTGGAGGTTGCCTGCATGTACCGGTAGGGGCCGAACACAACCACTCTAGGTATAAAAAGACAACCTAGACTAGAGAAGTAACGGTGCATCGGGGATTATGTAATAGGTCAGAAAGTAGATGCGCCCGAGGCCGGCTCTTTCCTGCCAGTTACAAAGGGCAACGGTAACCCATGTGCACGCACTAGCTAGCTGCCTTGCTGATGTTACGACGATTCCGATTCCGATATCACTGTCATTTCGTACATGATGATGGCCGACATGCTGTGTTGGACGTAGTCAATACGCACTTCGTTCGGATCCTCCTCCGTTTTCGCCGGGACACCGCCTTGCATATTGTTGGATGTGTCGTGTTCTTGAGATTCCACCAGGAACTGAACTCCCAGTCGAACAAAGAACAGAACTCTGTCGTATACATTGACTTCTCTTCCACGACGGTCAGTCTCTGGAATAATCAACTCATCCTCATCAATAAACGTGAGTGCCGCAATCAGTCCTTCCAGACGGGCAGCAGTGGCACACGTGTTTCCATCGCCGGTAGTGCAAGTTTGACAGCCATCGTCTTCCAACAAGGTCTCTTTTGATATTCCCAATACCATTCTGGCAGCGACCCGCACACCGTGCCGGTAGATGAGTCCATAGTCACTGCCTTCTGGGTTTAGCAGCGGCAAGAGCTTGGAGGTAGCAATCAATGCCCAGTGATCCGGTTCAATTTCATTGATTTCCATGTCGCGTCGGTACCGTTCCAAGTACAAGAGAGCTCGGGTCGCCGTTTGGATCCACTGCGCCTTGTAGTGTTCGTCGGTTTCAATCGATACCAGGTACAACAGTGCCAAGCATGCCTCTCCTGGATAGAACAGAGATGGATTGTGGTTGTCTTTACCACCGTCAAAGGGCAAGTATTGGGAATAAAAGCTCCCGTCTGCCTTTTGCATGAACTGAATAAAATTTGCCAACTTGCGCAGATCGGTCAGTTCAAAGGTACCAGGAAGAATCTGTTCCAAATTCACCATGGCAAGTAATGTCAACCCCGCACCACCGAGTTCGGCTTTGGGAGGATTGGAAAGGTTGGGTACAACTCGTTTGGTCTCCCAGACTGCAAGAAGGTCGGGAAGGTAGCTTGGCTTTTCGCCAACGTCGTACTCATAACGTTCGTCGTCGTCATGGGACGCCACCGGGACGGGTCCAAGGGCCCGGTCTTGGACAAACTCCATCGATCGTTCGATGGCTTTCAAAACCTTTGGATCAGCAGTACGCTTATATGACAAGCAAAGGGAATAGATGGTCCCGCTATGGCGCAACAAGTTGTACGTTTGATCAAGGTCCTCTTCCGCGACTTCCTCGTCCGTAAAGTCCAATGGTAATTCTTCGTCCAAGTATGCAATATACGTGAACTTTCCTTCATGGTCGGGGTCTTGTTCCTTCGTATGGCAAACACGAACCAAGTAGGAAGTAGCTTCTTCTATAAAGATGTCAATCTGATCTTGAGAGAGATCCACATTGGCGTCTTCGACGTCAATGCTCGCCTCGACTGCGAAGTGTGGAGTTGGCAAACCGAGGACAACGGCGGCCAGAACCAGCAGGGTCGCGTGGAACTGCCGCTGAACGATCATTGTTACTTCATCAACACAACTTGGAATCAATCAACAGCCTTGAGCCATCTCGTGAAGTTGAGTGCAGTATCTTAGGTTGTGTCATTGCTCAATATCGAGCTCACCAGGTGCTCATACCAGATCGTCGAGGAAGCATGCCGAGGGCAGAACAAACTGTGATTCGATTCATTCGAATCGAATGATTCAATTGATTCAATTTCTCCCTGTTTTGAGGTCTCGTGATACCACCATCCGAGGGCCCGAGAGACACCTTGGTGTGAGGCAACTTCCTTGGGTACTAGTAGCCCCAATTCATCCTGTGAGCTCTACTAGCTAGCTATAGACGAGTTGTTGCATCCAGCAAGCACCTCTACCTAGTCCCACTATTAGCTATGCACACCCCCATTAAGGATCCATTCCAACTGCTTGGAACCGTCCAAGGTAGCAATAACTCACCCTTGTACTGGTTGATCTGGAGCTGTACTCTTTTGGACCAGCATGAGGTTCCCAACAGCACTATAGCTGCCTTTGTTGATGATGCCCTGATCTCCAACCACTCATTCAATGACGCAAATTTCCTACCAATTTCAACTTTGAGAAAATGTTCCTTGCACTACCGCTCACTGCTCTCTCAGAGTGACAAAAGGTCCACCCATGTCTGTGCAGTGAACACCTGCATTGGAGGTTTTGATTGTCATGTTATCACCCCACCCATGCTCAGCAGATTTGTGAGAGTGAGACTACCAGGAGGCCCCTTGGATATGAAACAGCCAGAACGGATCGATCAAGTCATTGAGGCTAGTGGAATGCAGAACTGCAGCCCCAAAGTCTACCAGGAATCTGCTTTTGGACTGGACAGACCCATAATGAGCAATACTTCTGCCATCATTGCATGTTCTGAGGATCGAATCTCTCTTATGGATGACCCTCAGCCTGTGGAATTTGGGACAGTGGGACAGACTGTAATACTCTGCCTCGGCTGTAGCCAAACACACTGACGACAACAACTTGCTTTTCCACACAAGAGGGCACCCACCAAGTGAAATGATGTACCCCATGTGTGACTTGGCACTGGCACCGATGAATGCATTTGAGTAGTCACAGCTGTAGGTTTTCTATGTATAAACAGTAGTAATCAATGCCCTGTTTTAAATAAAATTTTTGTTTCTTGTGCTGTCTTATTGTATTCTTCTACTTGAATTCTCTAACGAAGCAGTGTTTGCATGTACATCGCCAAAGGCCCTGTCACCGAAGGATCTGTACTCTTGACAGTCACATTTAGCTTGGCACCCATGCCTCCGGGGCTCACCTTACCGTGAATGAGAACTACATGTGTTCCACCAATCATGCCAGCGCAGATTCCTTCATTGGTAGACACAATGGATTCTACCTTGTAGGCACCAACATTGGAGCAGACGTCCATGAATGCATTGAGTGTTGTGACCTTTGACGATTGCACTTCCAATGGAGCTACCGCCGGGCAACTTCCCCACTGCTGTCCAAACTGAGCTGTGGTGATTTCGAGTGGGCCCAGGGGCACACCATTGAACTCGAATTTTTGAGTGCCCATGGAAAGTGACGCCAAGGGGGCATCCTGAACGTCACCCAACAATCCCTCCGCAGCAAATGGATCTAGGTTGTCGATTGGGTTGGGTGGTGGGACAGGTGCTGGCGCAGCAGGTGCTGCCAGACCACCAGCCGGTGCTTCCTCCTCGTCATCTGACACAGTTTCTACCTGTGGCGGTGCCGCAGGAGCAGCCGCAGGCAACGGAGCAGCCGCAAAAATGTCAATCCCTGCTGCAGCTGGTGGCGGCGCAGGAGCCGGAGTATCCCACGCGGACATGTCCAAAAGATCAATCTCTACAGCTGGAGCGGGCGCAGGTGGCGGAGGAGGAGCCGGTGCAGCTACAGGAGTGGCGCCCGAAGCTGCTGCTCTTGCGGCTGCCGCTGACATGGCAGAGGCCGGTGCAGGTGGTGGCGGAGCGGCACCTGGAATCATGCCACCAAAGAGCGCAGCTGCTTTCCTCTCTTTTTCCAATTGTTCGGCAGTCTTGGGTGGCTCGGGCGGAGGAGCAGGAGCCGAACTCATTCCTGCCGCGGCCAAGTAGGGATTGGTGCCGGTACTACTGGCACCAAAGGAGCTGGCGCCTGGGGATGCAAAGGCGTTGCTGGTGGCAGCCGGAGGCGGCGGAGCAGGGGCTGCCGCCGCAGCCTGGGGTTTGCCCCATACATTGGCCACGTTGCGCGTGTTGAGTTGCACAGCTCCTGGGGCTCCAGTGTTGGCCTGGACGGGTGCAGTGCTGGCTCCATATCCCGCACCTGGGGGGAGAGAAACTCCTGGCATGCTGGGGGTGGCCCCTCCCATGCCACGCATTGCTGCCATGGCAGCAGCAGGTGTTTGGGGTTTCTCGTAGGGAGTCATTTTGAATCCAGAACCCTTGTTGGTTGCCGATTCGTCCATGAAATCATCGTCGTCATCATCGTCTTCGGGTTTTTCGTAGGGCCGAGCACCGTTGGCAATGGCTTGTTGAACATACCCGTTCAAAAAGGAGAGATTTGGGTCGACGGCAAGATCCTCGGCACTGGCATCGACGGGGAAGACTTGGCTCAGAATTTGTGGTGCCGTCGTGAGCAAGGTTTGAAATTCCAAGCATCGTTGCTGCAGATCCGTGTCCTTGGAACGAGTGTACTCGTCAATGACGGTTGCAGCGTGAGGAGGACAAGTGCCAGCTTGCGAGACGAGTTTGAAAACGGCACTGAGCATAAACTTGCGCGTGCTGTTGGGAAGTCGCGCCTTTACCGATGCCAAGGCACAAAGCTCCTTCAAGACATCGTCCAAAGTACAAACCGCCGACAGATAGCCATATTCACCAAGAACCCAGGCAATGGTTTCCAGCAGGATCCGCGGCAACTTGGTTGCCGTTCCCGGTTTGTCACGTAGCAATCCAACGTAGAGTTCCACAGCATTTTGTCGCAGCAGCATATCCGCTTCTTCGCTATCTCCGGTTCCCTCGGCAATCAGTGTCATCAAGTTTTGCGCCACTTCCTGTTTGACCATGTCTCCCGAAACCTCAAATAGCTGTGTAATGGTTCGAATGTACCATGCATTGTTGGGTGCATACCGTTCCGCCACGGAGCAGACTCGTTTCGTGAGTACATTTTTCAAAAAGAGATCGGTGGATCCGCGCAAGAATCTGCAAACAGAGAGAGAGAACCCAAATGGTTAGCAATTGTCAATCATCATAGACTGCTGCTGGTACATGTATAATAATACTGTTAGACTCACTCCAAGATACGCTCGGTAATGAATTCGACATTGACAGGGTTGGTCATTCGATACAAGAGATCCAGTGTCTTGCGTTGCAATGTTTCATCTGGATCTTCCAAACAATCCATAACGACCAATTGATGCTGTGCGGCGTATTGTGGATTTCCTTCGACAATCATGGCCAATCCAGTCACACCGAGATATTTGAGATTGTGGGATCGACTACGAATAAATCTGGAAATGGCTTCTCCTGCCGCATCCAATAGTTTTGGATTGGGGTATATTGTGGCAATGGTTTTGACGCATTCGTAGACGACGGCATATCCGGCATTGACACCGACATCGGCCTTGGTCATGCAATCCATCAAAATCTCGTACATGCCCGAACTGGCGGCCGCGTCGGCTTTTCCGACAATGCCCAAAATGCGGACCTGTGTAGTATATATCCAAATAATGAGTCCATGAGAATCAATGCGATGAGAAACACAATCCACTCATGCCTCTTCCATATTCATTCATTCTATATGTTTCCATACTTACAATTTTCATTTGAATCCAGGGAGCCGGTACTCGATGATAATCATAATCGGATGGCAATCGGTGTTCCCCAATTTGTTTCAAAATACTCACAAGAGATGGAATCAAATCTTTAAAGACCGTGGCATCTTCAGCGGCCAATGCTTCAATGACATTCAAACTAGATCCCATGACGGATGGATCTCGATCACAGAGGACTTTGCGTAATTTTTCCACAAGATCTTCTCGCGTGACAGTTTCCGGTGCCAATTGATGGAATCGATGCAATGCAATGATAACCTTTTTGCGAACCGTGTCACTGTCGTGTGCAATGAGTTTCATGACTTCTCCACTCACGGCGGGGACCATGTCTTCGGTAATCAACGCCGTGGCGGCCAGGACTCCTCCACAAATTTCCAAGACATTGGACGATTGTAAATCGCGTTGCATCTGATTGACGAGCATGAATCGGAATTCATGCTCCGGACTCAAACAGGCACTGCAGACCAAGTAGCCGGTACGTTTGTGAAAGAGAGAGGAGGATGCGGCCATTTCCACTGCTTTGATGTATCCAAACGATCCATCGTGACCCAGCATTTCCACGTACAAGAGGCGAACCAGGAATTCCTTGGCGCGTTTCTTGCTCGTCAAGAGTTGATTGGTGGCGGCGGGAGAGCCCATGCCGCCGCTCTGGGGAGTCTCCAGTTTTTGTTTCAAGCGGACTACTTCCTTGGCAATGATGCGGTCTTCTTCTTGTTTCGATTTGGATTCACCGATCGCCTTGAGCAGTTCAAAGAACTCCTTGGATAAATTCACTCCTCCAGTCGCCATGGTTGAATAATGTTATAAACAATGGAGGATGTGCAACTAACTAACTTGAGTTGGACTAGCTAGTTGAGTCTGGCTGGAGTGGCTGGACTGGATGTGGTCAAGACAATGCTGTTCTGCTTGAGTTGATCCGTTCAATGTTCTACTCGTATTGCAGCACCTGTTTTGTTCTGATACCGGTAGTAGCCGTCGTCGAGGTTGGTGCACAAAGATATGCTGGCATCATTGTCGCTCTTTCGAGATCGGAGGAGGAGACCGTTAGGTACCGAGCTGGCGCCGGCCAGCTTTGTTAGGGCTTACCCCTAAGATTGATAAAGTGTGCGTCTCACGTTTTTCCTGGTCATGAAAGCGCAGTACCGGTTACCAGTACCAGCTAGCTCTACTAGCACTGGTACGGTACCAGTACTAGCTAGCTAGCACCAGTTGCAACCAACAACAACGAACCTTCCAGAAATGAAAGAGCGGACCACAGAGTGGGGCTTGGACCAGCCACTTGTAAGCCAAAAGCTGGGAGAGCCGTTGGAGAACAGCAGTAGCTTCGGAAGCAAAGGGGGTGAAGTGTCCGCGTGGAGCAGTGCATTGAGCCTTGTACTTCGTCTTCTTCTGCCTCTCCCACTGAGAAAGGGCCTTCTTAGCAGTGACACCACGGTCTCGACGACCAGGAGACTCAACATCCACGAGGGAGACATCAAAGATACAATCGGTAACTCAATGCCAGAAGCCGCAAAACATGAGATCACCTCGGTCGTGGACGACGGGCTCAGAGGGAGTAGGAGCATGGGAAGTATCAGCAGGGTCAATCGGGGCCATAGCTGGGCGACCAAGAACTCGTGACATGGGGTTTGTTGCGGACAGCAGCTCTAGGCCACGAAAGCTAAATCAGCAACCTCACGCACAATTTGATTGTGGTGCTGAAGAAGAAGTCCACCGTGGGAGCAGGAAAAGGCATGGTGGAGACCAAACTAAGCTTGTTGCAGCCATCACAGTGGGGTTGGAGATCTGGAGGAGTCAGTCCATATCGAAGATGGAGGGAATCTCGGAGCTCCAAGGGAGAGAGGACAGTGTCTACGCTGAGTACGGTACCGTAACATGCTCTACAAGAAGAAATTGGCTTCGCGGACCAATAAATGACATACAGTTATATACGATACCATACTTCCAGCAGGATCAATGAGACATCGGGCCAACCACACGCAAAGACACCCGGTCCGACCACAAGCTCAAGGAATGCACCAAAATGTGGGACCGAAACAAGGAAACTAACTCTCCTCCATTGCTTGTTTGGGGACCGAGAAAGGCGAGAACGTATTTCTCTAGGAGGATAAAAACATGGCCTCATGATGCAGCTGCTTTTGCTCTGCTCTCGGCTTCTGTTGAACCACGAAATCCTTTTAAGCAGCGGCGCTCTTTTTCCAATGCATCTTGGCCGACTGAATGTACTCGGCCAACAAGTCTTGGGACAGCGTCACATCTCCAAAATCTTGAATTGTCGCGTTGGGAAAGTTCTGTTTGGCCAGCTTTGTCAAGGCAGACGTGGTGTACTGCGTGTCAAAACTGCCGGCACCTTCCTCTTCGGAGAATGACAGAGGCTTGAGCACCAACTGGAGCACGGATCGGATCGATTTGAGAGAGCGGGAATTGGTTGGATTGCAGGTCCATAGGGAGTGATTCAATTCTTTACAATAAACGTCGACTGGCAGGATGCGATCCGTGCCATCTGCTCCGGCACTGCCAAACAGCTTCATTTGTTCTCGGGGACTCATTGGTCGAGGCAGAGTCAAATGAAGGACTTTGACGTTACCTGGGTTATTGGGATTCAAGAGTTGGGCAGTTACTTCGGGGGAACTCAACGCGCACAAGGCTGTGGCTTGGCACAGGGCATCCAGGGGATACAATGGAAGGCATGATTGAAAGTCGGGCATGCATTTCAATGCGGTACCACCTTGGATCAGGGCAGAGGGGACCGTAGTAGGCTGAACATGCCGGCCAATCACAAATGGAGTCCGGTAACAGAAACAAAAGATTCGATTCGGATAACTCTTGGCCTCTTGCACCAACCATTGTTCCATGTGCCATTTGAATTGCCCGTACCCGGAAACCGCACGGTGCACTGGTAAATGAAAGGTTTCTGGAATGGACAACGCAGCAGACGTGACGGCAGTGGACGACATGAAATGAAAGCCAATCTTTCGGCGAGCTCCCACTCGTTTGGTCACATTAAATATATTCCGGACTTGCTGGCCGTTGGTCTCTTGGTGTTCGGACAAGTTCATGCCCCAATTGATCCAAGCGGCAAGATGAATGATGGACGTGACATGGTCCTCGCAAAATTGAATATCTTCCTCTTCCATACTCAGGAAGTTGTCTTTCGCGATGAACACGATGACCCTTTCTTCCACGAGGCTGAAGCCGTGCTTCTCGAGCGACGCTTGGAGTCTCTGCTTGGCATCTTGTTTCTTCATGGACATGCTGCTGTGGTCTAACTTGGAGCGCACCAAACATGCCACCCGAACATTATTGTCGCTCAACGACAGCAACTCTCCGAGAAGTCGGCCACCTATGAACCCAGTGGCACCTGTCAAAAGTACAACAGGGCCGCCGGCTTCAGCAGCTGGATCTTGATCAAGCCCTAGCCCGGAAGCGCCAGAAAAATCAACGGTGCTGCCATTTCCATGTTCACTACTAGAACTAGACGACGACTCAGTGGCGGCTGCACTCTCGTCCCACGACTGATTCCTTTTGAGCTTTTGAGCCGTTTTCGTTGGTGTCATACCGGGTCTGGTGGTTTCAGCGATGTTGCGTTCCGGCTGAGATGTCTCTGTAACAGCGATGGTATCAGCGGCGGGCGGTGTATCCCTTTCGGAGATGCTATTTGTTGCTGGCGGAGACGGCGGTTTGGACTGCATTTTCCCTAGCAGGGAATTGACGGTTGCAGCGCCAAGAATGTCAAACTGAGTGGCTGTGATACCCAATTCACCCTTGAGAAAGTTGATCAGCTGAACAGAACCAAGGCTATCGAGACCATAATTGGAAAGTGCCATTTCAGGTTCAACATCAGCTGGGTTGACTTGCAGAATATCCGAAAGCTCGTTGATGATCTTCTCGCGCGCTTCTTCGATGGTTTGCCCTGGTGCATCTTGGGAGCTTTGATCAGTTGGTTGGTAGATACCATTGGCTGCCAGATGAGAAAACCGTTTCGAAATGCTAGGAGGGTAGTTTTCCAGGTTCCAGCTTACGTTGGCGTGGATAACATGGCGGTTTCTGCTTGATTGGGTCATTAGCTCGAGATGACCATCAACAGCTTGCTTCAAAGAAATGGTATGGATCCCCCGAGACTTTAGTACCTGGATCAAACTTGCATCTTGGATCATACCTACCAGTACACACAAACAACGACAAGAATGAGTTTCAATATTTTCATCGACGACAATCAGCCACACGGGAGTGAGCGTATGATTTCAACATTACCTGATCCAAACTCGCCAACTACAGCACCAAGCTCGATGACAGCCGCTGGGAGACCCTGTGAGTGGCGGATTCTCATTAGTCCTGTGAGGTAGTGGTTTGCAGCTGCATAGTTGGCCTGGCCAATGTTTCCAATTGCCGCAACAATGGAGCTGGTCATCAAAAAGAAGTCTAGGTTCATCCCATGATCCTTGGTTGCCAGGTGAAAGTTCTCCGCGCCCATCTTGGGTTTCATTACTTTATCCACTTTCCCGGCCGTCATACTCTCGAACGTGCCGTCATCGGTGACGCCTGCCAAACAAATTACGCCTTTGAGCGTATATTCTCTGGTGGAGCAACTTGATACCAGTTCTTGGACGGCTTCTGCATTGCCAACGTCCAGACATTGTACCGTCACACTACTACCAAGGGCCTGAACGCGATCAATCAACTTCTTCTGCCAGTACGTCCTTGGAGGCCTCCTGCTTACTAAGACAATCTTTCCAGCCCCTGATTGAGCCATGGCTTCGGCTAAAGCCAAACCAACAGATCCCAGGCCGCCAGTAATCATGTAGGACGCATCAGGACGGAATCTATGTACTCGAGATGGCTTGCACGGAACGTCGTTGCTCAGAATTGGGTCAGCCGTGTTGGTCTCACTAGCCATTGTCAGTACAATCTTTCCAATGTGCTTGCCTTGGCTCATCCTTTGTGCTTCAGAAAGAGCAGCTGAAACAGGACTCGTACTATGAATGAGGGGCTTGAGTTGGCCGTCATAAAAGCATTGGAAAAGTTCCCGCAGCAACTTGGCAATCTTGACATCATTTTTCATCAAGAAATCGAGATGACAAGACAAGAATGAAAGGTTATGTTCAAAACCCGTGAGAGGGAGCTGTGAGTGGTTGAGAATGTCAATTTTTCCGATTTCGATGAATCTTCCGCAAGGGGCAAGGCATCGAACTCCAGCCTGTAGTGCTTCTCCTGCCAGTGAGTTCAGCACAATGTCAACTCCTTTGCCATCCGTGATCTCCAAGACTTGTTGCTCAAAGTCTAGCGAGCGAGACTGTACAAAATCTACGACGCCAAAGTTCTTCCTCAAGGAGTTTCGCTTCGCTTCTGACGACACACTTGCTATCACATGGCCGCCCATCATTTGAGTAATTTGAATGGCCGCAATTCCCACACCTCCTGCTGCAGAATGCACGAGAACTGTTTCGCCTTTCTCTATTTGAGCCTTCTTGACCAGGCCATAGTAAGCCGTTGCAAAGCACAAGGGAATAGTTGCAGCTTCTTCGAAGGACATGCCATTCGGCAGACGGAATGTCCAGCTTGCGAACGTGTCAACCGTTGAACTGATTCCAGATGAGCGCAGCAGGGCAACGACTTCGTCGCCAACTTTCAGACCATGTTCAGCAGCCAGTTTTTCGTCCCCGATATCTTCAATAATTCCAGCACATTCACCTCCAGAATTCTCAAGGTCGTATCCCTGGAGCATGCCAAGCAGGATCATGACGTGCTTGAAATTCAGGCCTACAGCCTTGACTCTAATACGAACAGAATCTTTTGCAGGCTTTCTTGACCGTTGCACATGCTGACCGAAGAACGCATCTTTCAATGTAATGACATTGCCAAGAAGGGATGGCGTCTCAAGGCACCATTCGTTGTCACTCTCCGCTGGAGTTGGTGTACTCATGCCTGGTTTCATTTGTACGAAAGGGACAATCTTGGGCACGTAGCATCGCCCACCTTTCACGCAGACTTCCGGCTGCGAGAAAGAGAACGAAGAAAGCAAGGTGGTGGCTATCCCTGAAGTATTCAGAGGGCTCCTCACCTCGTCTTGGAACCAGAGTAAGCGGAGATTGATGTCTAGCTCATGATTCACCGCGCGACAGAGCCCGACAACAGCATGACAAGAAGGGCCATTGCCAAGTAAGACAATGGTCTTCGGCTTGGATGTACCCCTTGTGCGGCGCATCTCAGTTGCGAAGGCTTGCAAGAACGCCATCAGACGCCACACAACATCTGGGGAGCCATGCGTCAATAGTTCGGGAACGACAAATAGATTTATGTTTGCATAAGACCCAAGCCCAGACTGTGCCTGTGCTAGGCTGCACTGGAAGTCTTCCACCGACGGTGACTCCAACTTGATAACCTGTCTTCCCTTTTGCTCGCACTTGGCAGAAATGTTCCTGAAAGAATCTCGGCCGTACGAACCAAGCATGACCATGAGGCTTTTCTGGTCTTTGGGGGGCTTGACTCGTGCGATTCGACTGGTGATCAAGCACATGGAAACGAACTCATTTTCGAGAACCTTGGATGCAATGAAGCTGCCCGTGTCGAATGGTGACTGCCTCAAAGCTCCCTTCCATTGGTCGACTGAAAGCCAAGGGTACGTGCCTGGCCTTTCATCATCATGGGACCACCACGATTCGTGAGCGGCGACAGTCAAAAGTCCTGGCTGGTATACACTCACTGTTTCGGCACTGAGAAGAAAACCCTTTGGGCTTAGGAGCTCTGAAAAGCGGCTAAGAGTCTGTCGAAGTACCAAAGTCCGATGAATGTTGACAGAAACAAGTGCTTGGCAGTCGCTGACGTCATGTTCTGGGAACTGGAAGCTTTCAAGGTCAGGTGCGACTACTTCTGATCGGCTGGAGATCCCTCCTGCAGAAAGGCCTCGCACGACTTCTTTTGGGAGGCCAGGAACTTCTCCATCAACAAAGTAGAAGACAAACTCAAAACTTCGGCTATCTCTGTCAAATGACAAAGCCGAAATTGATTTCGAGAATGCTTCCACAAAGAATGCATCGGATCTTGGCACAATGACCGCAATTTTCACGACGTGGCGTGTCTCGATGAGCATTTCGAATATCTCCGTCATGGATGAAAATAAGCCTTGGTCATAGGTGGACAATGGCGACGAGTGAAAACTGTTTAATGAAGCAGTGGCATGGCTGTGGAAATCAGACAGCTTTTTGCCAGTCGCTGAGATGGTACTGACTCGGGATTCTTCTCTGGTTTCTTGAAGTGAAATTTCAAAGTTCTGCCGAGGAGTGGGAGCACCATCGGCATCGACAAGGCAACCGGCCTTCCATTCTTGGAGAATTTCTGAGGCACAACGGTCAAGGCCAGTATTCCGGGGTGCTGTGGGGGGAAGAGACATCACAGCCCCAGCGACAAACGTCCATTCGTCGTCCGAAACTGCCAGCCTTTGGTAGATCGTTTCGTATGCTGTTTGGTTGCCAGAAGCCACAGAACCTAACCTTGATACCGTGAGTTCCTCGCAGACTGCGCAGAGACGGGGAGGCCGGTTGGCATCGGCGCTGGATTCCCAGATTCGAATGTCAAATCTCACTTTGGCTCCTTGCTTATCAAGAACAACTGATTCCACAAGCAGGTCTCGACCCGCTGCCGGTTCGAACAAGTGCACATAGCGCTTGACTCCAAGAGGAATGTAGGCACTGTCATTGTCTTGTACAAGCAAAACACAAAGCTGGAAGCAACAGTCAAGAATAGCAATGTCGAAATACCGGGATTGTGGCGGCCTTCCCTCCACAAGACCCACGCATATTCCCGACTCGACTTGAGCAAACCGAATCTTCCGAAAGGCATCTCCGTACTCGAGGCCGCGCCTTTTGAGGTTGGCGTACAAGACTTCCTTCGCAATAACAGTTGCTGATGACTTGTCAAGCGTCGGAGGTTTCAGCTCGTAGAAAGCTTGCTTAGCAAATGCAGATGTGATGGTGCCAACTGTTCCTGCCGAGTACACATTGTTCAATGTCGGATGAGAGAAAGAGTATCTCGACGTGTTTCCGCCAGTTTTGGGCCATTTCAGCAACACAGGAGTCGGTGTCTCCTGGGAGAGAATCAAAGGGTTCTCAAAGGAGACGTCAAGGAGGACAATCGCCGCCCCACTGTTGCTCTCTTCCGATATATCAACGAAGCGTAGGGCTGTCATCATGTAACCAGCCCCGGGGAAAACAATTTCTCCATTCACAACGTGGTCTTGAAGAAACGTATCAGTGTCGAGGGAAATCTCGTAGGGAGATCCCACGCGTTCAATACTCGATGACGTTGCGCCTGAAGAAGCTTTGCCATGAAGCCTGGTTTCCTTGCTGCTCTTTGGCTCTGACCAGAAGGAGGTATCATGATTCCAGTTGTACCGAGGTAGCAAAAAGGAAACAGGACTCCTTGGCACCGCAACATCCTTTACCAGCGAAATAGGGTCTACGCTGTCACCAAGCTGGTATGATCGTATCAAGGCATTCTCAATGCTTTCCTTTTCAGGTTTGTTCCTGTAAACTGTGGCACAAAAAGGAAAGATTTAGCTGTGGGATTGGCACTGGGTGGCGAGGAAGCTTCCACTACTAGAAGTGGTTATTGATTTGGCGTACCTGGGTTGATAATTGAAGGTGCTTTGCTTCCTGACAAATCGGTTTCGCGAAATACGTCAAGAATGGTCGCCCCAAGGACTGGATGGTTAGAAAGCTCAAAAATGTAATCCACTTTTGGCAGATTACCGGCCGCAGACTTCTGGAAGATGTCACGCATGGCTTTGTGAAAAAGAACGGGCTCACGGACGTTTCTCCACCAGTACTCTTCGTCGACGGTCTCCTTTGGAGCATTTAGCTCGCGCCCAAGCGAAGACGAGACAAAGGGGACTCGCGGGGTTCCTCGTCTAAGATTTCCTGAAAGAATTTGAATCATCTTCTGCCTGTTGGGCGCAATCGCTGAGCTGTGATAAGGTGTTGTGGTTCTCATCATCTTTGCAAACAGCCCTTCCGCTTTTGAGGTTTCTTCCATTTTGCAAAGGGACGCCTTATTGCCAGCAAGCACACAGGAGGTTTGACTGTTGAAGGCAGCGACTTCGCAGAACCAGTTTGGACTCTTGCTGCACGTATTCATGAGTCGCTCAATGGTTGCTCTGTCCGCGTTGACAACCAGCATGCCACCTGTGTCGTTCAGGCTGCCAAAGGCAACAGAACGAGCCAATGCAATTGTAACGGCTTCCTGAAGATCGATGGCTCCGGCAGCCCAGGCAGCAGCTACTTCTCCCCCGCTGTGTCCAATGCAGATGGCTGGTGAGACTCCGAATGCCTTGAGTACCTCGAAAAGTCCAATCTGAAACATAAGGAGGGCAGACTGGCAGAAAGCAGGGTCCTCCATCATTCTCGGGTTCTTGGGGTCAATTTCGTCACGTTGAAAGAGCTGCATTTTCCGGATGATGGACACTCCTGACTGAGCTTCAAATTCTTTGTCAACTTGATGGACTGCCTTAGAGAATCCAGGAAACTTGCTGTACAAGTCCTTTCCCATTGAAATGGTCTGTGGTCCTTGTCCCGGAAACACAAATAGTGCATTGCTTTTGGAAGCTCGGAGCTCCAACGAGTTCTTCGGAATGCTCTCCACGGATGCAATGGCCTTCTTCAGACCAGCTTGGAACTCGAATGAGGAGCTCGCGACAACCAACACTCGTACAGCCAGATGACTGCGCTTTGACAGGGCATACGCCACAAGGGATGAGTCGAACGTCAAGAATTCAGTTTCAAGATTCGTCCCTTGCAGCAGATCAGTTCGCCCTGGGTCTTCCTGTGTCTCCAGGAGACGCAGCCATGTCAAGAGAAGACCTTTCAAAGCCACCCTTGATGCCGCGGAAAACGGAAAGAACAATTGCTTCCCCTCAGTGGGTGGTTGCAAAGTTAAAGTCCACCCTGCACCACTCTTCGTTCCGGAATCCTTGATGATATCTGCATGGGTGTCACCGGTTTGAAGAATGACATGTCCAAGGCTTCCACCAATACCAAAAGAGTTGATTCCCACTGCTGTGTGACTTCCGTGGTCCTCAATGGACTCCACGCTCACTTGCACGTCAATGTCCTTGCCAGCAATGGTATCATTTGGCTCTTTGAAATTGGCGTTTGGTGTAAACTCTCCATAGTACAGTGAAAGAGCCATCTTGATTATGGAGGCGATGCCAGAACCAGGCTCTAAGTGCCCAATGAGAGACTTTACGCTTCCGATCTTGAGCCGGGGAACGTTTGAGCTACGCTGATCCAATCCGTAGGCTTCCAGAATTGCCTTCAATTCGATAGCGTCACCAACTGGAGTACCTGTCCCATGGGCTTCGACGAACCGAATATCGTCTCGTTTGAGCTTGGCAAGTTGCAATGCCCTTGTCATCATTGCGGCTTCAGCGTCCGGATTGGGCTGCGTGATAATCTGCGTTTTTCCGCCGGCAGACGCCACCGATCCAGCAATGAGCGCATAGATACGATCGCCATCAGCCCGAGCTTGAGCCGCGGGCTTCAACAGCAATGTGCCCACACCCTCGCCACGGATGTATCCACTGGCATCTTTGTCAAAAGCCCGGAGAGCTCCATCCTTGCTGAAGACACCTTGACGACTGAGTTCCATGCTAATGTAGGGATGTAAGAGGATATTGGCACCGCAGGCCATGGCTACTCGGCACTCACCCTTTTGAAGAGCTGTGGCGGCGAGGTGGACGGCTGTCAGCGACGAGCTGCACGCTGTATCCACCGTCATGGAAGGGCCTTCCAATCCAAACCAGTGGCTTAGCCGATTGCTGATCATGAACAACCTACGACTGGTAATAGTGTAGTTGTTTACGCCATTCATTTCCGAGGCGGCCATTACCGTCCAGTCGGGAGCATATGCTCCAACAAAGACTCCAACGTTGTTATCCGGAGCAGCAAGGTCCTGTAGAGACCAACCGGCATCCTCCAAAGATTCGTACGTTGCCTCAAGGAGCAGACGATGTTGGGGATCCATCTCAGCCACTTCTTTTGGGTTTAGACGAAAGAAGTCGGCATCGAATTTGTCAACTTGATCCAAGAGACAAATGGTTTCGTGAGTGATTTTCCCGCGTTTCGTGGCACTGGGATCGTAGAAGTGGTCGGCATTCCAACGTTCGTTCTCCGTTCCTTTGGGCATGGGTTGCATCTGCGCCTTTCCGCGACGAAGCATGCGCCAGTACTCCAATAGGCTTTCGGCACCAGGGAGACGACAACCCATACCAACAATTGCAATGGGTTCATAGTCGGGAAACTTACCACAGCAGCCATTTGGCTGCTGTGCTGTCCTCATCTTCTTGGTCTGATAGAAACTACTTGTTGTTATTATTCAATGCGGGATGATCGAATGCCTCTGGAAACTATCGGTGTGCGCATCCGCATTCACAGTTTCCGGATGTGGGCATTCACAAGCTACATGTAGAAGCAGTTTGTGCTGATCAAGAGTAAAACTACTCTTAATTCAGTCACTTTTTGCTAAAATCGTATGAAGTGGTCTACTAGCTAGTAGCTAGCTGTAGCTACTGTACCAGTACATAGAGACGCTAGTTATTAATAGTATCCTGATTTTCCTGATTCGATTCATGTTTTAAGGGCTGCTGATAAGGGATTGTTCTATGGGGTTTTCATGAAGGCTTAAAGGTTGCTTTGAGAGCTTAAGGACTTGTTCTAAAAGCTTGTTTAATGGATTGTTGAAGGTTTAATGGGTTGTTTAAAGGTTTGTTTCGAATCGAATCGTAAAATTTTTGGTTTTAAAATCCTGAGTGAAAACGTCGGACGGTCCTGACTGTCCCACAAACAACAAGGCACAAACGATCGATAAACGATTTGGTTCATGTTCCGTGTAAGTGTACCGTACCTGGTACCAGTACATCGTACTGTACAGAGTGTAGAAAAAGTGAAAACGATCAAAACTTACTTATGATAATTATTAATACTGGAACACGTGCTGTTGAATCCGTCACGGTTGAATGAGAATCATTGAAGTTGAATCATTCAATCAGCCTCCACCTATGTAAGCCCTGTGCGCGTCTCTTTTTAATTAAAACTGGATAATACGGTACAACTGTACACAGTGTATGTATGTCTTGGCTCTCAATGCTAATGGTACCTGGTACCTGCTTTTTGTCCCGCTCTCAATGGTACTATTCGAGCTTTTTGTCCTGCTCTCATGACTCATGATCAATGGTACTATCGAGCTTTTCGTCCTGCATCTCAATGGTACCATCCAGCTTTTGTCCTGCTCTCATGATCAATGGTACTATCGAGCTTTTCGTCCTGCCTCTCAATGGTGCCGTCGAGCTTTTGTCCTGCTCTCTCAATGGTACCAGCTACTATGGAGCTTATAGTCCTGCCTCTCATGATACCGTACTAGACAACTAGTCTAGTACTGTGGCTCTGATCGGCTTGGTGGGCACATGGGCACATATACATGTGCCACCATAGCTTTTAGTGCTCTGAAGTACACTGCCGGTAAATCGCCTTAGACTACATACATGTGGGTGCTACCGGTATGAATACGATAGTGGTACTTATTGTGTCTCGAGTAATCTTTTAATCGGGTTGTTAGTAAACCACTTGCACAGGGTGGTCTTTGGATCAAAATTAAAAATACTGTATGAAGGAAAACAACAGCCGTGCGGAAGCCCACCAGTTTCTTGGAAAAAGATCCAAGAAACTGGTGGGCTTCCGCACGGCTGTTGTTTTCCTTCATATACCGGTATTTGACAATCTCTATACAGTCTTTCGAGTCTTCTATTCAGGGTCTTTTGGTCATCTATTCACTTTTAAAAAGGGAGACTGAAAACCAGGGCAACCAAGAATTGGTGCGTCGTACAATTTTAATTAAAATGTAAGATTACCGGTTCATGGTCAGTGCGGTATCTACCGTTACGACTGGACCACTGTGGAAACTTTACTGGTACTGAAATTTCGATCAAAACAGCATTAAGTTGAATTGGATTTAACAGTCTTTTTACTTCAAATGTCTTTGACTTTCCTCTGTTTTTTTAAAAAGCGTGTATTAATAATATTACATGTAAGAGTACGGTACTATTAATACTCTTTTTTATAACTGTGCGAACTTAATTAATACACTAAAGTACTGTAGCTTTCAAATAGCAAGAGGGACCTTCAGAAAGCGAACCTATAGACACTTTCAAAATCCTTAAATGGGCTCACGAAGATTGGATGCAAATGTCCCCGATAGAACTCCGTTCACAAAATCCAACACACAAACTTGCACAATCTGCCTTTTCTCTTGTGTGTCAAGAGTCAAGAGCAGCAGATCAAATAGGTTTTTAGTTTGGAATCCAAGACGATGAAGGTCCTCGAAAAGGTCAAGGTCGTTTTGGCCTTGTTTCTCAATCTCCTTGGTTTGATCAAGAGTTTGGCCATGAATTTCTCGAAGGCGTTGGCTGCTTCGAAGACGGCTTTTTCTCTCACCAGAGGATTCATTCTATCTGCCAAACAAGCTCTCTCGTCCCCCAGCTTTCTGATTCGAGTACTCATGGCTCTTGCCGTTGCATTGTGTGCGTGGCATTGGTTTGTCGCTTCAGCGGCCGTTGCTCTTTTATTTCCCTGTGTTGCATGGATGCTTGCTAAGAAATTCCATTCTGAGACTGGAGGAACTTCTCGTCTTTTGCCATACTTGGCTCGACTATCCAAACATCGCCACGAAGAGTTGGTTCGGAATCTTCGAACCATTGACAATGGCGATGGAACGAAAAAGTCTCTCCAGAGTTTGTGGAATGCCAATGCACAACTTGAAGACAAACGAGTCCTGTTGACCGGGGCCACTGGTTTTGTGGGTCGCTCGATTCTCTTGGAATTGCTCAGTCTCATGAAACAGGAACAAGAGGATGGTATCCAGGTGGACAACAAGATTTATCTCATGATTCGGCCATCACCAGCTGGCGGAGACCCCAAGACAAGAATTCAAGATTTGCGAGAAGAAGACTGTTTTTCGGGTTTGCGTACCGTGTGGGACCGAGTTGTGGAACTTGTTGCAGTTGATGACTTGAGTAAGCCCAAGTTTGGAATGGAGCAAGCTGAGTTTTACACGCTTTCCGAAAGTGGAATTTCCCACGTGATTCACTGCGCTGGTAATATCCGCCATGATGCCCCCATGGAAGAGAGTGCTGCTGCCAATATTACCGCCGCGCTCCAGTTGCAAACTTTGGCATATGATGAATGGAACTCCAAGGCCTGCATTGTTGTCTCGGATGCCCTAGCAAGTATCAGCTCGTATACGAGGAGCGACACGATTATTAAGGAAGAACTTGTTCCTCTTGGACGATACAAGGCAGTCGACCTGTATCATAGTATGGTTGGTGACCAGTGGCTAGCTTCCAAGGCGATGAAAGAGCTGGGAATTCCGAGTCCGTACATGCTTTCCAAGTGCGTTGCGGACCATCTCCTCTCTCGCAGCAACAAGGCCGCTTCCGTCACCAAGACAGTCCTTATCCGTGCTGCCATTGTGGGCCCTTCATGGATTTTGCCTTTTCCCGGATTTAACGGTGGCAAGCAAGACGTCTTGTCATCTCTGTTTGGGGCGGTTCGATCTGGTTCAGTTCAAGTGTGTGCTTTTCCTGATAGCCCGCTTCCAGTCATCCCAGTTGATGTTTTAGCTGTCGGTATCATCCATTCGATGCTTTCAGAAAACTCGATGAAAAGTGACAGCAAGGTTTCTATCTGGAATATGGTCTGGTTTCTCCCCAAGGTAGCCCAAGACGCTTTCTCCTTGTGGACCGTGATTGGAGCGTTTGCTTCTTGGGAAGCAGCACTCCGTTTGCTTTTGTGCAAGTCATTTCACACGAACAAGAAGATCGCAAAACACATTGACGATGTATTCAATAAGCTCCCGGAAAGCCAGGTCTGGAAGACAGCCTTCGCTACCGAAGCACCGGTAGGAGGAGCGTTTGACGTAATGCGCTTGAGGGGTCTGGTGCCTTCGTATGAAAAATCTCTCGGAAGACATCACCCTTACAAGCGGCGCCAATTGCCCGACAAGATGGAACCTGCTTTCTACTTGGCAAGTGTCCTACGAACTGTCGAGAACATGATGAACGTGGGTGTCAGTCAGAAGAAGAGCGACCCAACTGCTTTGGTTGTGCCTCTAATTCCCGATCACAGGTCTGACTTGTGGTGGGCATTGACGCAGCCAAACGGCAATCTCGCTCATCGCGTGGTTGGAGTTGTGACTTCAAAGGTGTTGAGAAAAGCTTGTAGCAGTATTTCAGTGGATCTGGCTTCTATGGCGGATCTTGCCAAGGAAATGCGAAATGACGGCTCTGTACCTCTGTGTCTAGCGCCTACGCATCGCTCTGTCCTCGATTTCGTCCTCATTAGCCTCCTCGGCTTTTCCATGCCAGGAACTGGCATCAAAATGCCTCGGATCGCGGCAGCCTCACATCGATTCCGACACTTGATGTTTGCAAGCATGTTGGAGTGGTGCGGTGCGTTCTGGGTTGAGCAAGGCAACCGAGGTCACGAGCTTGCTGCTACATTGGAAGCATTCGTCAAGAAAGGAGAACACTTGATGGTGTTCATTGAAGGCCAACGAAGTCGTGATAGGAGGTTCCGTAAGTCTCAACTGCCAGTCCCAAACGGAGGAGCCATGGCATGCAATGTTGATGGTTTCTCACCCTTCAGTATACTAACCATGATATTCTTGATGCAGTACCACCCCGTTACGGCTTTATCAAGGCTCTCCAGGAGTTGCCCACTTCCTTGGGCACTCCAGTGCTTGCACCTATTGCCATTGACTACGAAAGACTTCCCGAGCACCAGAGTCTTGCGTCCGAAATGCATTCCAAGGGAAAGAAGGAGCCGCTCTCGACATCTGGTGTACTAGGTTGGCTCCGGCAACTCTTTGCCACGCAGAGCATCAACCTTGGTGCTGTACAAATTACATTCGGCAAGCCAACGCGACTTCAGAGTGGCCAGTCGGCCGAACATGTTGCGCTTGAGGTGCAGAAGCAGCAACGCAAGATCACTTCCATTACGACCTTTCATCTGGCGGTGGCTAGAGTGCACCTGAAGATTCCGACAGAAGCTCTTGAGTCGGTTATCTTGTCAAGCGAAGGAAATCTATTGACTGGATCGACTTTAGTAGTCCACGAAGCTCAGCGTTTGTCCTCAATTGAAGCTTGGTGCGCACACCTGCAGTGGATGCATCTAATTGCTCATCTTCTCCGAGACAGCCATCCCAACTGGTCTACTTGGATTCTTAACGAAGCGCAGTTAGGCGACGAAGAATTAAGGCTGAAGGCGACCAACACAGAATACAATTCTGAGCACCTAGTTACTGTCCTGTCGAAGCTCACTGAAGCCTTTGAGGAGGCTGACAAACTGGCAGAAGCTGCTAGTAAGATCATTCTAAGCAAAGGAATTCCAGAGCCTGGTGTGGATCATGTCTTACAGGTGATGGAGAGTCAGATGAATACCACTGCGTCTGCCACCACCATAGTCCCGCCTATTACAAGTGCCGCAGCCTCATTTGTGGCCAGGGGAAACCGAGACAACCTGTCAAGCTTTGTTTCTGACTTTGCCAAGGACGGAAACGAGGAAGAGGCAGGAACAACTCTGTTGCCAGTGTATGCTCAAGAGTCCAGCAATCCCGACGCCGAGCACTACGGTGGGTGGGGGTTTGTCGATTCCGGTTTCCAAGTTGTGGGTGGGACCCATGGCGTTCCGGCCAGCGTACGATTCAAGGGACAGCGATATCGAATTAGCGGCAAAGAGTTTCCAACACTCCACGGCTTTCTAGAAGATGTCATGGGCAGCAAGCTCCCACAGTTTGATCCAACTTGTGCAGAACCGAAGAGTGTCGATGAGAGCCAGTCCAAGAAGCTCTTGTACCTGTTCCTTGGAAATGGATTTGCTGCTTCGAAGCTCAGCAGAGACCCCAAAGAACGGTATCGTCATGGAACGGGTCATTGCTTAGAGGATATCGAGCATCTCCGAAAAGGCAGCTTGCCGCGCTGCCCTGATCTCGTTGTCTGGCCTGAAAACGAGCCTGATTGCGTGAAAATTGTGGAATTAGCTGAACAACATTCAATGAACCTGATCCCCTTCGGAGGTAAGTTTTGTGGAAACTTATCCATCCTCTGTGCTGCATCCGTCATTCACTGCGTTTCCAACTGCCCATGCTTTCTTTAGGAGGTACCAATGTCACACACGCAACGAACCCGCCACCAAAGGAAGTGGATCCACGCCCCGTTGTGTCTATAGATATGCGTCGCATGAACAAGATCGTGTGGTTGAATAAAGAGGACGGCTTAGCTCATATCGAGGCTGGGATCGTCGGTCGAGATGTTGTCAAAATGCTTAGTGCCGATGGTTTTACTATGGGACATGAACCTGATTCTCTGGAGTTCAGCACGCTTGGTGGGTGGATCGCCACAAGAGCGTCAGGCATGAGTAAGTTAATGTGATTCGCCCCGTGTTAACATCTACCGGCAAATGCTCACGTGGATTCCAACTTCTTGCTTCTGCGCCCACTAATAGAGCGCAATCGATACGGCAACATTGAAGAAATGGTTAAAGAAGTGCGTATGGTGACGACCAAAGGCGTTCTTACTCAACATCATCATAACGCCGAGTTGCCAGAGGGAGAGCAATTTTCTTTTGGACGCGTCAGTGTCGGAACGGAGCTCAAGGATCTTGCCATGGGCTCTGAGGGCAACTATGGCTTAATCACAAGCGCCGTCGTTCGCGTCCACCGCATTCCGGCCGTGGATGAGTATTCGTCGCTTGTCTTCCCCGATTTCGATACTGGCTTCCATTTCATGCGTGAAGTTGCCCGGCTGCCTCAAGCGTTGCGTCCTTCCTCGACTCGGCTTTCCGACAATGTGCAGTTCCAGTTGGCTCAACACATCAGCGGGAAAAGCGGATCGGTTATTGAGACATTTGGAAAGAGTTTGGTAAAGTCCTACCTCGGGCACTGGTTGAAATGGAACCCCCAAACCATCAGTGCCTGCACCATGGTCTATGAAGGCGAGTCCAAGGAAGTGGCGATGCAGAAGCAGATCATCAATGAGTTGGCGACCAGATTCGGCGGATTGCAGTCCGGCAGCAAGAATGGCGCTTCCGGGTACGATCTGACCTTTGCCATCGCCTACTTTCGCGATCTGATCTACTCCTACCAAATCTACGGCGAGAGTTTTGAAACCTTTGTCTGCTGGTCGCGTGCATTGGATCTCTGCAAGGGAGTGGAAGCCGACGTCAAGAAGATCTTCAAGGAACTGTGCCTGCCGGGCGAGCCAATGATCTGCTATCGAATCACGCAGTTATACGAAGAAGGTTGCTGTGCGTATTTTTATCTCATCATGAATTTGGTGGGAGTTACAGATCCCTGCGCGAAGTTCAATCTGGTAGAAAAGACGGCTCGTGAAAGCTGTCTTCGCTATGGCGGTTCTTTGAGTCACCATCATGGAGTCGGCAAATTACGCCGTCATTTCATGCCGGAAATCAACAGCGGGCCTATGAACGAATGGCTGAAGGATGTGAAGAAGGGCATCGACCCTTCAAATGTTTTTGGCTGTGGCAACGGAGTCTGCGGTCTAGTAGACCATGAGAAGGAAAAGCCGGTTTCAGAGGTTATGTCATGGTCAAGCTCAGACTATATCAATGATGGCGAAGGCCAGGAAAAAAAGGAAAATTAGGATTGTTGGGTTGAACTGAGGTGGAAATGGCCGTGCAGTTTTTCAACTATTTAGTTTCTATTCGTATTTCGTGCAATCTGCTTGTTCTTTTATTTTTATTTAAAAAAGTCAGCGGGAGCTGCGATACCTCCGCAGAAAGACAAACAGAAGAAGAAGGATCATGTTTGAGATTGCACCCTTCTTTCAAGGTAGCCCTGGCGACAACACCTGCAACACCCGACTTCGTCGTGTGTTGCCGCCCGCTATCATTCCCTCATTGTAACCCTCTTTTTCTTAAGCTAGCCCAGTCGGCAACACCTGCTAATCCATAATTTACAGCTGTCATTCTCCTATTGTATCTCTAACCTTTACAGTTCCTGCTGGGTTATTGTGCTTTTGTGCCAAGCGCCAAGTGCCCTAATCTTATTAATTTACAATAATATATTCCTACCCCTAACTTTTGTTGAACCTTCAATTTTCAGTTTTGTTGGCTTATGCCTATCTCTATCCTTATATTTGTTGGCTTCACCCCAGGAGGAAACACCAATAAAGGGGTTGAGAACTCAGGCAGTTAGACTGCCGAGGTAAAACTAGCCATAGGAAGTTCCTCAAGTGGGATAACAGAGGGAGGAGTCAACAGTGCTGATACCATTAGGGGGCAAAGTAAAAAACGCATGTTGCGGGGCTGAGTGTGGCGCCATGCTTTGTGAACAACTGATACTCAGCAACAGTTCCTTGGCAAATGGGAACATGCAGTGAAGAAGCGATGAATATCTCCGCTGATGGACGGAAGGTTCCCTGCATGTCCCCCGGTTTCACAGAGCTTAATATGGACCAAGTGGTCCTTGTTGTGAAGCTTAGCTTGTCTCTGTAAATGTTGTGGTTCTTCCAGCGTTGCAACAGGATCATCCCGAGAGTGTACCGCCAGAAGAGGCACCTGCAAGTCCTTGAGACGCCACATTGGGCTGAGCTTGCTTGGATCATCCGATGTTTTTAAGACTTGCTCAAACTCCTTGGCATAATAGGGTTTGACGACTTGATTCACAAAGGAATGGAAGTTCCGTGAATGCCAGCCAATATTTCGACAGTGGCAATAGCAAATCAGAACCCAACTGTAGAACATAAACCAGATATTCAAAGACCCTTGGGACATTCTCACAAGCAAGCTGTCCAAGTCCATGGGCGCAGAAACAGTTGCACAAGCGGCAATCAATGCAGAACAGTCCTTTCCTTGCACTGCAGAAGAAAGAACCGAAGTTCCCCCAAGAGAAACACCCAAGAGGCAAATGGACCCTGCTTCATCTCCGAAGGTACTCTTGGCGAAGTCTGCAACTTTCAACAGATCCAGTCCTTCCAAAACTGTTAGAGAAAAGGGTACGTTGGGAAAGCGACGGCCCGTTTCCCCGTGCCCTCTGAGGTCGACAACAATCACATTGGCTCTCCACTGGTAGTATACCAAGGACGCCAAGGAAACAATCAGAGAGAAGGAGGAGCTGTTGAACATTCCCGGCACAATAACGACAGTCATATTTTTCTCTTTGTTTGCTCCTCCCTCCTGATGACGCTTCGCAACTTGACATGAAAGTTCTAGGCCATTATTGGTTACAGGTACCCACACCTGAGCAAAGGGAGTGGGGTATTCATACCTGAACATCTCGATAAGAGGATTTGTGGCCTCGGATGTAAGACACCCACTCAAGTAGGCGATACCATCGGCTGCCCAAGCCCCAATCGTGGCCAGCGTTCCTCGGAGTTCATCCCACCACAGCAAAGGCGACGAGGATTGGAGCGAAGGGCTTACTTCAGCCTTTACTCTGTCCTCACAGAAGAAGGAGAGCATAGCCATGTACACCAGGACATTTTGTAACACAACGACACCCACCACAGCGCAAACAGCTCGCCTTAATGAAGCAAATACATCCTTTGTCATCAGTACCATGATCAAACTGTCTTTCTTGGGAACAACACTCAATTTTTTGTGTGAGAGTTGTGATGAGTGAGAAGGATACACGTTCGTGTAGCAGACGTTTATCACCAGTCATTTTACTAGCTAGTACGTGTACCAGGTAGCTGGTTCGTGCAGTTCTCATGTCTGTGTCGTTAGCTGGTTCATGCAGTTCTCATGTCTTTTCGACCGAACAACACGCGTAGTTTTAATTAATACTGAATTTCAACAGTGGATCTCGTAATCGCTCAGAATAATCAATTATAATACTAGTACTAGTAGTACTACTAGTACGGTTACTTACCTCAGTACCAGTAAGGTTTTGTATTTTACATGTACTAGCTAGCTAGTATGTCATAGCTATTTTTTAAACAGCATACCGTACCTCTGAGTACCGGTAGCTCTCTGAGTAAGGTTTTATTCCTGCAACCAATCTCGCTTTTTCGATGTTTCGCTTGGGTTCAAGAGTACCAGTAAGGCCACACCCCTCACCATCCTCTGAGTAAGGTTTTATTCCTTCAACCAATCTCGCTTTTTCGACGTTTCGCTTGGGTTCAAGAATAAGGCCACACTGGGCCCCTCGCCATCCGACCAGGAGACCACGGAAAAGAACAAAACGATACTGCATGGACGATACGACCATGGCTTCCCCTTATACTGTTGCGTACATGTTCCCAGATGCCAAGAGTGTCGGCTCTGTTTCGGCGTTTCGCACCAAGCCAATGGCCAAGACAGATGTGGATCTGATTGTAACTTATTGTGGAGTTTGTCATACGGACGTGCACTTTATCGACAATGATTGGGGTATGTCTCGTTACCCTCTGGTTCCTGGGCACGAGATTGTTGGACACGTCACAAGGGTTGGAACTGAAGTGAAGGAACTCAAAGTGGGAGACCAAGTCGCTATGGGTTGCGTAGCTCAGTCTTGCTACAAATGCGAGTGCTGTCAGAAAGGTCGTGATAATCTATGTGCCGATAGGAGGTTCACATACTTTCATGATACTACGGACGAAACGGGCACCCACCGCCACATGGGAGGCTTTAGCTCCTTTATGAGAACAGATTATCGCAAGCTCTACAAGGTTCCCCGAGGACTCGAGCAAAATCATGTTGGACCCCTCATGTGTGCGGGCGTCACCGTGTTTGAGCCGATTCGCAACCTCCTGGGAGACAGTCTGGATGGCAAAGGCAAGACTATTGGTGTGCTTGGTATTGGTGGTCTTGGGCATTTGGCACTGCAGTTCGTCTCCAAGACAGGCGCCACCGCCGTGGCCTTCTCTCGAGGAAAGAAAAAGGAAGAATTCACAAAATTCTTGGGCGCCTCCTACCTGGTAGATACGACGAACGCGGATGCTATGCAAGCAGCGTACGGAACTCTCGATCAGTTGATTGTCTGTACTTCAGGTGGGACATTTGAATGCGACAAGTTCCTTCCTCTTGTCAAGCCATTTGGTAACATGCACTTGTGTGGCATTCCCGATGCACCCATTACATTTACAGCGCAGCTCCTCGTCTTCTCACGCATTAGCATCTCTGGAAATCCTACGGGCGGTTCCACGGATACCAAACTGATGTTGGAGTTTGCTGCGAAACATGGCATTGAACCCATCATTGAGGAGTTTCCTCACTCCAAAGCGCATGAGGCAATCCAGAAGATTCGAGATGGCACCATTCGCTTCCGAGCTGTGCTCAAGAATGATTTGGTTGATGTGGAGGAGACCTTGACTGCCCTGAACAATGGGTATGTGAAGCTTTAAATGATTTGATTTTTTCATGACAGGAGTATGATTCACTTACTAGCTAGTTCTGTTAGTTGACCTACTAGTAGCACTACTTTATCTTTCTTTACATGTTTCGCAACTAATATTCTTATGGGATTACATTGTACTCCTGGAAATACCTAAAACTGATCACAATCTCTACTTTCTACGAGTCTTTCTTTCCAGCGTCCACCTCAGCTGCAAGGCAAGGCACGTCAGAGAGCTTCTTGAAGTACTGGACACCATTCTTGTCGCTGTCCACAAAATGACAGGTTTTACAAACCTTCCATAGGGCAAGACAGAAGTCAGTTGGATCATAATTGTAAAGCTCTTTTGGTTCCAGGTAAGCTCGAACCGCCTTGGTCGCTTCCATGGCACGATAGTGTGGAATCTCAGGGAAGATATGGTGGACAAGATGAGTTGTGTTGATATCATGCGTGCAGTGGTTCAGCCACCAATATCCAGGTCTATCGATCGTAGTCGCAATATTTGTCTTCATCCAGCTCCACTGCTCACGGTCAAAGTTTGGGACAGATTCATGTGTATGGTGGAGCCAGGTCACCGTCACCACGACAGCATGAACCACAACGTAGGGACCCCAATACCACATCCAAACGGCTTGCCAGGAGTAACACCAGCTGAAGTAAACTTGTAAGCAGACATTCACCAACACTCCAACATCAGACAGGATAACCTTCCAGCGCATGCCGGAAGGAAAGAGACGGCTTGAAGGGCGAAAGTGATCAGGGAACTCGGTGTTGGCAATGGGCTCTTGATCTGCTCCCAGCTTGCCATTGGAAGAGATCCCAAAGAGAAAGAGCTGCCACCCAAGGAGCAGTCTCGACAGCATCATGAATACAGCAAAGCCAGTGTCTCCCAATGTTTGGTGTTTCAAGGCGTGATCGTACATTGGGTTCGACAGAAATCCCATCGGCCCCTGGTTGGAAAACACGGATATTTTGGCTTTCACAGACTCAGGGGAGAGCCGCTTGTACTGCTCTTTTGTACCAACCTTCTTGGTGAGTCCCATTTCATCATGTGTGGCTGGAACATGTGACTCTCCATCAACCAAGTCATTGGTACGGCGATGATGTTTAGCATGCGAAAATTGCCAGGAGAAGTGGGGTACGCAAAGAAACGTGTGAAGCGCCAATCCGACGGCTCCGTTGAGGACAGGATACTTGCTGAATGCGCCATGACTGCACTCGTGGGCCAAAACCCACAGCCCACTCACTGCGAATCCCATGACTACCGCATACACATTCCAAGCAGTACGCCACAAACACCACTGCCAAGTCCAAATCGGAGAGGACGGAGCATCGGAAGACAGCCCAATCACATGACGTGTAATGTACCATACAAATATTCCCTGCAAGAGATCGAGAACTAGATAAAAGAAACTCCAAAAGAGACTGCGATCAAAGCAATGGGCCGGGATAACATTGCGAATCTCGGACACGGTTGGGAACTGATCATTGATCTCCTCGAGGGTCTTACCGGCCACCCTGGAATCGATTCTTTCGGGAGTGAAAGGGGAGGTCCATTCGTCTTTATCCTTGGCAGAGGTAGAGGCGACCATCGTCGCAGTTCGATTTGTTCTAAATGTTCTACGCTGTACCTTGTACCGGTGCAAGCTGCAGAAAATGCTGTGTTGAGAGCCGCAAAATCGATTGTGTGAAACTACTGTCCTTGGATCTTTTAAATAGTCATGGGTTACCGTATACTGTACTCTGAACTGAGCTATTGGTGGTACTACTGAAGCTTCATGGCAAGCGGTCCTGCACCTCTGTGAAATCAACCAAGAAGGAAGAAGCAGAACCTCTCCAGGATCTACATGTACTAATAAGTAGCTAGCTACTCTAGCCACAGTCGTAGCTACCAGCTAGTAATCCGAAAGAACAGAGATCTAGATCTGTCTTCAAACAGCATCCGAAACAGCGTACGAGTAAGCAGTACAAGTACCTTTTAAAATTAAAGATTAGTCTAGATGGTCCAGTGCAGCGTTTTACTCGGTGGGAGTGCTGGTACCAGTACCGGTACGCTGTATACTGGTACCATTGAATCGAATGATCAATCGAATCTACAGCGCAGCCGGAAACGCATCTGTCTTCAACATTTCCGACTTCCGACATCAGCGTCAGCAGTACCGGTACCAGTCACCGACGGTACGACCAAAAAATGATCATTGAGGGAAGAAGCGAACTTCTTCCGTACTGGAAGGCCTGGTCATGCGACTGTTAGTCCCGGATTCTTCTTGCTATGGTCAAAGTCGCGTCGGATCGCTGAAAGTCGTTCACAAAGTCGCGTGCGACTTGCACGCGACTTTGGTACGACTTTCCAAACGACTTTCAGCCATCCGACGCGACTTTATCGCCATACCTACAGTCAACTTGCGCGACTTTCAAAGTCGTGTGAGAAAGTCGCACGCGACTTTGGTGCGACTCGCATGCGACTTTGAGAACGACTTTTAATGCGACTTTGGTGCTCCTGTGCGACTTTATTCCGATTTTGGCGATTTTCAGTCGTATGACCGCGCCTTCCTGGTACTATAGGAATAATAGTAATAAATGCAATCGAATGTCATTGCTGCAACATCTTCGCACTTCACACAATAAGCACTCTTTTAAAAAACTTAGTTGGTCTTGTGCAGCGTTTTACTCGGTACGGTAAGGATTCGCTGCTTCCAGGTCCCTGCGTCATTGTCGCACGAAACTCACGACAACCACAAAGCACATGGCCGAAACAACAAACAATCATACATCCACCACTCTTTCATCCTCGTCATCATCATCATCACCATCAGAATAGATATTTTATCATACCACCATGACTACAACCCAATCTTCTCCTACAATTACCGCCGCTGCCGTCCTTGGCAACTTTATCTTTTTGGGTCCACTCCTGTGGATCCAAGAACTCTTGCAAAACCTCTTGACACGGGCTGTGACGGGCGATTGGGGGTGGATTTATCCACGCTCTCCTCATGAATGGTGGTCCTTTCATACCATGCCATCATGGGGCGCCGTGGCCGCTGTGTGGTTTGCACTGAATGTCCGCTTCCTACATCAACAAAGTGTATTGGTCCGACTACTGATCATGGCCACCATTGGATGGGTGATTGAATATTTGAATGGATTTGTGCAGGAAGCCACAGGGTCAGAAGGATTGCAAGTGTGGCCGGGAAGTCCTCTTCGCTATGTCACGTATGGGTGTTTTCTGTGGTGGATTCAGAATGGAGTCACTTGGTTTGTCTTGAACGAGGGTCTTGCCAGGGTTGGTAGTGCGATTGCGCAGTCCAATCTTCTTGGCGGTAAGGACATTTCAGAAGGGAAAAAAGCAGAATAGATACTACCGACCGATATTTGGCTGCATGGAGTGGTACGCACAAGTGTGACCCGTGATGAAAGGTGCTGAAAAGTGTTGAAAATGTGATGAATGGTGATGAATCCATGATGAATGGGTGATGAACAGTACTGAATGTAGTCTACAACTTCTATTCATCAACTCATTGTCTACACTTTGTCTACACTTTGTTAGTTACTACTTGTAAAGATCGGGGCCTCGGCTCGTGGGTCGTCCTCAAGCACATCTTGTCTGAATCCGTTAACCTCGGCAGTCTTGCTGCCAGAGCCCTCAACCCCTTTAATTGTTTTTCCTGCTACGGTGGTCCCTGCAGGTATAAGGGTAGGGTTAGAATACAAATAAGTCAGCAAAAAATAAATAAGTATCCTAGGATGGTGCTTTAAACCAGCTAAAGCTATTTACATGCATCCTAGTAGGGGGATCTGCTTCTACCAGGAAAAACTCTAAAGCCAGCGAAAGCTATATAACTTGTATTCTAGCTAGCTAGGGGTATCTGCTTCTAGCTTGCTATGGGAATCTGCTTCTAGCTAGCTAAGCGCAAGTTAAGCACTAGCTAAGCACTAGAGGTATCTGCTTCTAGCTAGCTAGCTCGGGGTATCTGCTTCTACATGTAAACACTGAAACCTTTCTGCCGAGGTTACACAGCTCCGCTGGCTTAATAGATGTTCAGTTTTTTTTTAACTTGCAAGGATCGAAGCACAGTCCCAAATGGTGGCAAACCACGGCACAACAGCTTCGAACACGACCTTTTGGTTAGCTACACCGTGATGCCATTTCTTTGTCAAACAATCATAGCACTTCAATGACTCGTTGAATGATTTATGAAAATAGCTGTCCATGGGATGGAACATGGAACAGACATGCGAGGTGAAAATGCTGCTGAAGGTGGACATCTACTCTAGTAGCTATAGCTTCTGGTGGCGAACTGGGCTTAGGGTTTACCCCTAAAAAGTATTGTTGGAAAAGTGTGCGTCTCACCCTCCTTCTGGATTTACGGTACCTGCCGACCCTCTACTACTAGCTAGCTATGTAGTAGACTAATAGTCCACTCCAGACTCCAGCAACGTCTGAGACCCACCAGAACCCTCCTGGGGCCCCTCCACGTAACCCTCTCCCTAAGTGTCACATGCCAAGCTGCGCTGCGCTGCCAACCATGTATTCGGGCTTTTTTCAGCATTCGTCTCCAGATTCGTTGGCTTATGACAGGTAGCCGAGTTTCAGTGACGGTAACGGTACCGTTACCGTTACCGGTACCGGTACCGTAACGAGTATGGTATCAGTGTTGGAAGGTAACGATTATTGGATGAGGCTACAAGGAGGACGGCGCATTCGTGAGTTTGTAAGTAGCAAGTGGTCGACAAGTTTGTGTTGTAATTGTTACGATGTTATTGCTAAATTTTTCGAATGTATCATTCCGTGTATCGAGTAAATCCCATTTCTTGATTTGAATCATTTTATATGTGTGTCCCGATGAAGTTCCTTTTGTTGTTTGGGTGACGGATGGATGATTTGTTTGCGCGAGGCTGTTTAGAAGAAGCCTAGTTCGCTTCCTCTTTCTTTTCTTCCTCTTCCTCTTCGTCATTGGCCACAGCAGCCAATTTGGCCTCTTCTTCGAGGATCCAAGCGGTGTAGTTCTGGAAATCTACAGGGTCGAGATGCTCTTGCCCAAGTCCGTATTCTTCGATGATGTAGTTGGGAACACTTCCGCGGGGCCAGACCGAGTAAAGTGTCATCGTGCTGTTCTTCAACAACTCTTCAACAGACGACTTGGTAGAGCAGGAGAGGAACTGCTTGCAATCTTCATCGGTGAAGATGTCACTCCAGTATTGAACCTCCTTGATGGCTGGATCCGCGAACTCGTACTTGTATTTCTTCTGTTTGTATCGTGGAAGCTCGTTCATAGCAGGGACAAAGAGCTGTTCGAACCATTCCTTGAGCTCATCTGGGGTGGAATGACGAGTCGAAGACTGCTCAAAAAATGTGAATGCCTTCATCTGATAGTAGTCCGTAGACGACATGACGGGTTCCATCGCGCCACTGTCTCCGGTGCCAGAGAGAGGAAGCACATACATCGCGGCGGGCCCCACGGTCGCAAGGAATTTGCTGTGGTGTGTGAGATTCTTGTGGACATATCATTTCTGGACATGCAATTCGCCTTTCTGGGCACCATCCATGGTGACAGCGAATCCATTGTAGAAGGCTGCGCTGGCGAAATCGAAATCACCAGGAGGCTTCACTTGATAGAACTTGACAAGGTCAATGCCACGGAACTTCTTGGCAGAATCAGAACGTGGCGTCGTAATAATGGAAGCTCGCTTGCGCTTTCCATCAGGACTCAAGAGAGGGTTGGTCGACGACATGTTTGATGATGCTTCCCTGTAAAGCAAGCATGTAATTAGAGTGCAATACACGGCTCTTAGCCATATTCGCGACTCGATCCTAGATAGGGTTTGAGTTCGACTCATGACTGAGTCTCTCGTGAATAGTTATTGAGACAGGGTTCTCAATGACCGCTCTAGTCATACTAGGTTGATGACGAAACATCGCTCTAGATATTTAGCCAGCGTGGAGTACTTCCGCGCTACTAGATCCATGCTAGACGAATCTTCCACGCGTTCCGTTTTAGGATCGTGGAACGAGTAGGATTACTACCGCAACCTACTCTATCACACTTTATAGTCTCCCGCGGGAGACCAGATCTACGATCCTTTGATGGTGATCTCTCTCGTTGATTAGTTTTCATAGCTTTCTAATCTCTCTCATAACTTTCATTCTCTCAAACACAAAACACTCGAAAGATCTTTACACAAGCTTTTAGCGTAGTGCATTTTGTTAACAAACACAATAGCTTTCAGCTACCCTCAACCTATTCCTTCACCATGAAGATTGCTCAAGGAAAGCATGCGTTCACCAACTTCGAGAAACAGTTGCGTGACAAACTGACAGCTGTAGATCAGGGATGAAGAAGTTTCCTTTCTTCGTTGGTATTGCTATCTTTCATAGGGAAAGATGTGCTATTCCACTTCACTGACATGGTAATGAAATCGAACTGATTCTTAGATCGAGAAAATGTCTCGACCTATGATCATGTCATACGCCCCAAAGTTCTTGGTGGCGTGCAAGTTCCATTCGATAATTCTATCATCGTGGAACTCAGGAGTCATAAGTGCACCTTACACTTCGTGCTGGGGTTTAATTCCTTTACAGGGGTAGTCCATAGTGTTTGGACGCCCCATGATCCTTCATGCTAATCTCTTAGCATGAATTTGGCGTAATCAAGGTTCCGGATGCTCCTGTATCAGTAAGCACGGAGTGTAACGGGTTTTGTTTCCCTTTTTCTCGTCTGTTAAATCTAACATAGCGATAGTTTTGAGGTCTCTTGTTGCGACGTGACGAGGTGGTTGGCACCGGACGAGGTTAACAATGCTGGATAGAATCTCAGAATCTAGTTGAGCAGCTTCTAGCAATTATCTAATTTGCCGTAGAGTTCATCGTTTGCAAACAATTCTTTTACTATTATGTGAGATATCTTCATCACTGGTATGAGAAATCGGACATGGTTCCGTTGAGTCATCTCCTGGCCTAATCCTCAGACGGAGATCTCTCCATCTGGATGATTGAAGTCGAAGTCGGCAAGGGCCTTGTCGACTGCAGCCTTTTCTTGTCCATCATGTTGAGGGACCCGACAGAGGATCATCCTCGTTGTTCAGAGTCGTCTGACTTGCGTTTGGCAACATGGTTGCATTCCTTTTCTTTTGCGATCCGCCTTGACCACAGCGTTGGAGACTTTCTTCATAAGGACAGAAGTTCCTTCTTGGTGTATGACTTGGCATCATCAGACTTGCGTTTCCAGGTTTGTTCTTGTTGTACGCTGGCTTGCTATTGTTGTCAGACGAGGACTTGGCTTTGAGTTTCTTCAGAGTCATGCAACAGCAGTATTGTGAGTGCTGGATCGTGGTAATCACACCACTTTTCTTCGCCTTGGAAGAATGGTCGTTGTGCGATAGATTGTACTTCTTGCTGTTGTTCTTCTTGAAGGAGCTTGCTTGGCATCCTGCCTTTGTCAAAGTCTTCAGCGGATTCCATGCGCTCACAGAATCCATGAGAGCGTCATCTCGGCATAAAGGATCGAAGTCGTGTTCGTCCATCTTGCGCATCCAGGAACGAGGAATGCCATGACAGATGATGTCGATGAATTCGTCCGGTTCAACTGTTGATTAACACCAAAAGGTGGCAAACGTGGAAGTCATCGGTGTTCATCGAGTGAGGTTGTTGATGTAGGCGCGAGTTGTCATCTCGCTAGGCTTACGCATCTTGCGACGCATGAAGCGTTTCTGTTTTCGAGAGCCTTGTAAGGACAGGCTGCTTCGATAACCGCGTTGATTCCAAAGGTGATGTCGCATCGCTTAGAGCGGGTTCCGCTGCACCGTCCCATGCGGCTTGACACGAGCCTGGAAGGCTACTTCGTTTCTCCAGAAGTCACATCGTGTGGAGGAATTGCGTTCAAAGCAATTTGTCGTAGGGCGTTATACGCACGGCACGATGGCCTGCCACCCCAGCTTCGTGGCACTCTTCGCAGAGCTGGAGTCATCTCCTTGAGAAGGCGATGTTTGTCGTCGGGACTAGCAAGTTGAGTCCAACGAAGACCTTTCCATATTCGTAGCCCACTTGATGGTCTGACGTGGAGTGTTGGAACCATTGTGATGGCTACCTTGAAGGTGTATTTGCACTGTTTGCATCTGCAGGAACGGTGCGAAGTTTGTAGGTGTTGCACGAGAATCGTCGATCTCGGCGTCTTCGTCATTGTCGACGAGAGGAAGAATGGGTTTCGTTCCACAACTTCGAGAAACAGTTTCGCGACAA